TTCTTCTGAGAAACAATTCTCATTTTTTAAATGATAAAACAATTCTCCTCCATTAACAAAATCCATAACCATATACAGTTTATCTGCTGTTTGGAATGCGTAATATAATTTAACAATAAAAGGGTGATGTAATTGCATTAATACATTCTTTTCTGCTTTTGTATGGTCAACTTGTTTACGTTCTTTGACTATATCTTTTCTTAATATTTTCATAGCAAATATTCTTCCATCATCTTTCTTTCTAACCATCATCACTTTACCAAATGAACCACGACCAATAACTTTTAATAACTCAAAGTCATCTTGAGTAACTTTTTTCTTACCTTCATTATATAATTCAATATATTCTTCTTTTTCCCCTTCTTTTCCTTTGACAATTTGATTATCTTCATTAGGTTTTGTATCTGTACAAGAACCTTTCTCTTCATTTAGAGTTGGTTCTTCGATTGCTTCTTTTTCATTTGTTTCATCTTTTATCTTTTCATTCTTTCGTTTTCCTTTTTCTTTCTTTCCTTTATTATTTTTTTTCTCTGGTTTGTGATTTGAATTTCCCATATGATTTATAAGTTCTTTAAAAAATTTTTCGTTTTTTTTTCTTTCACTTTTTATTATTAAGTCAATCTTTTATCAAATCTAAAAATTAAAGATACTATCTGTGAACTTGAGAAAATTTTTTTATAAAACAAAAACGAAGAATGAATAATATTACAAAATAAATGTTGGGTTTGGGAAGTTCTTTATTGACACACAATTTAAATAAGGTTCATTTGCTGTTGTAGAAAAAATAAGTTTTTTATCATTTACACTAATTCCTAATGGTGCACCAACTAATCCTAAAGTTGTCATTTCAATTGACCCAAGAAAATTGTTTTTCTTAAAACAAGCAATTCTATTATTTCCACTATCACTAACAAACAATCTTTTATATTTGTCAATACAAGCAAATGTTGGTCTATTAACAAATCCTTTCGCTCCACCATATCTAGAAATAATAGAAGTTACTTTTTTTTGTTTTGGGTCAATTGAAAAGATAGAACTTCCCCAATTATCTATTACTATCAACTGGTCTTCATCAAATAAAATACAGTGTGGATAAAATGGTGTTCGTTGGTTAGGAATACTTAGTGAGGATAAATATGTTCCATCAAGTGTAAAAATTTGAATTCTACAATTCATAGCATCAGCAACATAAACATTATCTAAAGAGTCAATTGCAATACACATTGGTTCATTAAATTTACCTGGCTCATTTCCATATCCACCAAATATGCTAATTTTACCATTTTTCTTATTAAAAATAAATACACAATGAAGTTGTTTATCACTAATATAAAACAACGAACTTTTCTTATATTCTACAACGCATGTCGGGTATTCTACTTTAAGAGGAAATTCTTCAGAAAGTTTTCTATCTTTTACAATTGTAATCAATTTAATTGAATGATTATTAATATCACCAGTAATATAAATTTCATTACTTTTTATTGTAATACATGAAAATGCTGGAGAAAAATGATTTCTAGAACTTCTAGGTATTATCAATCGACTAAATTTAACTTCTCTTATATCTGAAATAAATGTTTCTATGAAATTACCTTCAAATTTTGTATGGAGTGTTTGATGATTTGTGTCAATAGCTCCATTTTTATTAAAACAAGTAATTGTTAATGAAGGTTTTTGTATTCCAATAAGTAATGAATTTCGATACCGAATAGTATTAATATAGAATGTTAAATTAATTATTTCATTATATATTTCTTGAATACATTTAATAACTTCCCACCTCATTTCTTTTATATGTTGTAATGATTTTAAACACTTTAATAATATCGTTTGATAATATGTGTTATTCTTACATTCTTCTGTATTTGATAAATTCTTTATATTATTAACCATTTCTGTAGTTCTGAATTCTATACACATTAATTGCTCTTTCTTCTCATTGAACATTTGGTATTGTAATTCTAATTCATCCTTTCTTTTCTTAAAAAGTGTTTCAATTGAACTGATTGTAAGAGAAGTAGTCATTTATTTTTTTTCTCTTTTTTTTTATTATTTTTATATTTTTTATTATTCTTTTAATTTTTTAATTAATAATGAATAATTAAAAATTAAAAACATTTTTTAGTTATGGATGGGATGATAAACAATAAATGGAGAAATGTTTCTTTTTCTCCATTTTCTAAAGAGCTGAAACTATAAATTTTTATTCTTTCATTGGACAATGAGTCGATTTTTCGTTCCATCAGACTCTCCATCTCCAAACCAAACCTTATCTACAGAATATTTATACCCACGATCAAATTATACCCAATTAGCACAACAAACAAACCAATTACCAATATTACCTAAACCTCGAAGAATAGTAAAAAAAAGAGAAAATGGAGAATTTTTAAAGTCTTCTTCTTATGTCGAATCTTCACATTATATTAGTTCATCAACAAAACCTAAACCAAAAAATGAATGGCTTCAACCTGTAATTTCTAAAACCCCACCAGAAAAAGTTTTAATACATCAAAATCGACATGCACTTTCTTCTTCTACTTCTCCAGATGAAATACAAAAACAACATGATACTGGATTAAAACCTCACACAGTCTTCACTCAGTCTGATGAAATTCATTCAGTTCTTCCATCTTCTAAACAAACAAAACCAAATTCAACTTCTTCTTCTACTATTGTTTTAGCATCACCTCCTCCAAAATTCTTTGCATTAAAAAATAGAGGAATAACAAAAATAAAAGAACAAAATTTAATTGCTCCAGGTGTTTCAGTTAATAGTCAAAAATTACAAAAACCTCAAACCACTCCATCAGTGGTTTTATCCGGTGAAACGAAACAACAAATCGCTATGTTCAGTGAAAGAAAAAGATTACAACGTGTTGGATCCACTTTAAATTTAGATCGTAAAAGAAAGTATATTACATGGAGAGCAAAAGAAGGAAATTCTATTATTCAAATGCCACAACTTGTCTTTAAACAACCAATACAACAAACAGAAGAAATAAAGCAAGAAGAAACATATCCAAATGATTTAGAACCGTTAAAAGATACTAAAGTTAATAACTTTTCTTTAAAGGTATCATCTCAGTCTATTGCTGTATTAGTAATGGAAACTCATTGCTAATTCTCTTCTCATTGTTTATTTACTCTATTCATTAGTGTTAAAATTTATTCATTAAATATTTTTAATTTAAATTCTTTACTTTATAAACCAATAATTATTAGTTTATTATTTCTTTTTTATTTTTAGTATTCTATTTTTCATTTATTTCATAAATTTTCTTTTTAATTTAAAAATTAACATTCATTATATAATAATTCATTATGTATTATTTTATTTTCTGATTTAAACTTAATTTTAATCCTTCTTTATTTCTATTATCAAATAACTTAATATTTATTATTATTACTATCTTTTTTTGACGTTATTTGATTTATAGTTTTGATATTATCCTTCATATTTCTTAATACTTCGTTCATTAAATTTCTTTTTGAATTGTAATTGAATTGATGATATTTTTCATTATATATTAATCATTGTTTTATATTCTTTCTTTAATTTTTCTAATTTATGGAATTATTTCTTTAGTATTAAATAAGAAAGAGGAAAATATAAGAGTTAACTTGAATTAAAATATATTCTAATAAGTAGATGAAATAAAGATAATTAATTAAGTATTAATTGAATTTGTATCTATTGCTCCTAGCTCAGGGAGTACTAATCCCATCCATGAGTTATTCTCTAGCAGTTCTACTGAATATTTTCTGCTATGGTAGAGACAATGTTCCATGATATCCATCATGTTCTTAATTACATGATTTTTAACTTCTTTTATGATGTCAATTTTAGTCTTTAATTCTTTAATTAATTTAATAATTTCAGCTTTTACTATTTAATTTATTGAAATTACTACTGCATTTATTTTGATATCTTTTAATTTCTCTATTTTCATTATCATATTCTTTAATTCTTTATACTTATTTCTTTTCTTCAAATACACTCTATTAATACTGTAATTTGCAATAATATTCATATCAAATAATAGACCAGCTTTATTCTTTTTATTTATTACATATAAATATGGTATTTTATAATATTATTAATCACTTTTTGATATTATTTGTTTATTCAATATCATAATGATGTCATTGTATCTGAACATGTTTCATATGTTGATTTCTTATATTGATTATTTTATATATATATATTTTCTAATTATCTAATATGATAATACCAATACCGTTTCTCAATTTATGATTTTTATAACAAATACAAGATAATAGAATATGTTCTATTGTTAATATTTTGTATTTACAAAGTGGGCAGTACTTTAATCTTTCATTTTTAATATTTTATCTTTTTTGTACTCATTGAATATTACTCCATCTTGTATTTTAGTTAATTGGAGAAATATATTCTTTTTAATATTGATAGAATTCAATGTATTTATTGTAGTAGTTTTATATATAAATTTTGATTTAACCAATATTCTAAATATCCATTTATTTAATTTCAATTTATTGATATATTTGTTTGTCATTATTTTATTTATTTTTATTTTTATTATTTTGTTTTCAATCATTTTATTATTATTTATTATATTTCTATTTCTTTGATTTTATGATTTATTACTTTTTATTTATATTCATTATTCATTTCTTTAAATATCATCTATCTAATATATTATTTCTTATTTCATTCTTGTAGATACATTATTGTTCTAATTATCATTAACATCACCAATCATGGTTAATGTTCATTATTTCATTTATATTGACATATAGATTGTCTTTGGAGTCACTAACACTAATATATTTTATATTTCTTATTTATTTTATTATCTCTATTTCCATTCAATCTAAGTTATCTTCTATTTTATTACTGATGTTAAATATTGAAGATATTGATTAATTCATCATTAATTCTTGTATTATATCTTGTATTACTACTTTCTTCACTATTTATTTCATCTATTTTCTTCATTATCTTTTCTTTGATGATTTTATAATTGAATATATCTTAATTTTATATGAATATCATACACTTAAATATTTATATATTCCTCACATTTAATAAGTAGATAAAAAAACAATAAAAAGATAATTTCCTTATTAAAATATAAAATAATAAAAAGATGAACATAGTTGTTTACAGTTAAACTCTTTATTTCTTTGATGATTTCCTTTTAGATTTTTCTTCCTCTTCAGATTTTTGAGAATTTGATTGGTCTATTTCTTGAATTTTACTTTTTAATGTTTTGTTAGTAATTCTTCTTTTAGTTTTTTTAGGTATTGAATATCTTTGTCTTTTTTTTACCTGTTCTTCTTCTGTTGAATGAGCATTAACATTTTCTTCATCTGTTTCTTCAGGTTTA